GGAGCCCAGCTCGGCCTCAGAGCCGCGAATGATGAGCAGGGGACCGCATGGGCCAGCGGCACGAGGGCCGGGCCCGGCGCCACAGAGACAGGCCTTCCAACTGCGGGAGCCCCTGAGACGTAGGCAGCTCATCGCGAAGGGGGCCCGGTGCTGAGCAAACGTGTGCTTTTTAAACAGGCAGGGAGCAACAGGGTTTATGTTTTCAATAGTGAAAAAGGGCACCGCCGCCGCCGTATTTTAATGCGCACATCACCCAACGCCACGGCCCTACACCTTCCAACATTTTCAAAGTTACCTGACAGGTATGCCAATCAGGTGACAGGTATGCCAATCAGGTCTGATTAAGAGGCTCAAAAGCTATAAATAAAAAACCAAACCGGAAAAGCCATGTTAAAGGGACTCCAGGTTAACTTTTCAAAAGAAAACAAGTGAAAACAAGTGGCCCATGGCACGCCGTGTGAACGGACGCAGGTAAACCGCCCCCCAGGGCAGACCCCGCAGGCGCTGTCCCGGCCCGGCCTGCGCGGTCCCCCCAGCACGGAAGGCCAGCCTCTGGCCCACTTGACGAGGGGCGTGGAAGAACGCAGGGTTGGGAAACGCAAGATGATCCAAATTCCACAGCGAAACAGAACAAACAACACGGAGACCAAGAAGGGACCTTCCACACACGCCAGGGCCACCGCCCTCGAGAGAGGGACACCACATTCCTGCCCAAGACACGCAGCAGCAGAAGCCCGGGGGGGGGAGGAGGTCGCGGGGGATCTTGCTTCCTCCTGACATACTTTTCTTTCAACCATTAGTCCTAGGGGAAAAAAATAAAGGCCAAACAATAAGGAGAGCTGCCAAGGGCGGCAGGCGTCCCCTCCCCCGCTCCCCGGGCCGGCTGGGGAAGCCGCGCAGCTGCCTGGGAAACTCCACAGGCAGCGGAGGGCGCAGGCCTGCCGCTGGGCTCCTCGGCGCTGACCAGGGAGAGAGGACGCCTCCTGTCACACAAATGCCTGTAACCAAACGTTTTTACGGAGTTTAATTCCTAACGGTCCCAAAGCGGGAAACCACCCGCAAGGCCAGCGCCACGGGCGAGAGACTGGCGTAGGCTGCGTGAGGACGCTTATAGGACACTTTGCAGTAACAAAATCTTAGAAATGGAGAACCGCGCCGACCAGGGGCTCCGTCGGTTGGAGCATCGCCCCGTACAGCCAAAGGCTGTGGGTTCGACCCCCGGTCGGGGCGCACGTGATGTTTCTGTCTCCCTCTCTGTCTCAGAACAATAATGTCCTCCAGTGAGAATTTATGAAAGATAAATGGAGGACAGATGGGCAGCTCCCAGGGGTCAGAGCGGCGACGGCCGCACGCGCGCGCGGCTGTGGCAGGCCGCGCGGGCCCCGCGGTGATGGGCGCACTGTGCTTCACGGCGCCCACGTCACACCCGGGTTGTGACATTGTATCTTGACTTCGCAAGACAGGGAAAACTGGACCAAGGGGACACAGGCTCTCTCTGTGCTGTTTCTGATAACTGCATGTAAAACCTAAAGATAAAAAGTTCCGTTTTAAAAGAATTCATAAATTCAAATACAATTTTTCAAAGTCCGGGTACGGTGGCCAGTGGGTGAGGACTCACTAGCTGGTGGGAGCCTGGGGAAGAGTTTAAGGAGCACAGACACAGGCGCGGGGCCTGTGCCCCTCCGGGTGGGCGGCCCCCGCCAGCCGGCCCGGCGCCCAGCCTGCGGCCGTGGGGCGCCTGGGAACACGGCCTCCTTCGTCTCGGCCTCAGCCATGCAGAAGGCACACGGGCGCTGAGACATGGAGCAGCCAAGTCACGGGTTCGTCGCTAACACCCTGATGGACTAACATCCGTGACCCCGAGCACCTGAGGCACCTCCGCTCGCTTTGACCTGAGCACACCTGAGCGGCTCTGGACCCGGTCAGGCGCACCGGCGCTGCTCAGCAGGCGCCAGGACAACGCAGCCTCCCTGGGCCGGCGGAGCAGTGAGCGCCACCCCTCGGTGAAGGCAGGGGGTGCAGGGAAGGAGGAAGCAGGCCCAGGTTCCCACCTCGGCCTGGGGGGGTGTCCCTCACCCGGGAGGCATGGCTCAGCAGTGTCTAAATGCCGCCTGGTCAGTCCCCAAGGCCATTCGCAACCGGAGGCTGTGATAACTGTTTCATCAGAGGAGGGATTAACATTGTTGCAAGCGGCGAGGCTGCCTCTGGCAACAGGTGTGACTTCAAGTCCTCGGCCCTGACCTCTGCTTCCTCCCTGGGGAAGGGAGGGCGGGGTCCATGTGGATGTTATTGGAAACAGGTGGCAGGAAGAGACCTGCCTAACCAGTCCCAGGTTCCACCTGCCATTCCAGCAGCCCGCGGGGAGGGAGTGAGCGTGGCCCGCCACGCAGAGCTGCCTCTGGCTTCCGGGACGCGGCTCCGTCCCCGGCTGGCGCACCCTTCCACCCTTCCTCCTGGATGTTGTCCCTGACCCTCAGGCCTGAGGAAGGGCCTCTCCGCTGTGCTGTCCCCTCCCCAGTCACTCTGTTCAGAGCACACATCATGGCTCTGTGTCCCAGGAAGGCAGACTCCGCGGGCACCTCGTCCAAACCAAACCGCGCGTCTGCCACACAGCGGGGACTCCGTGAACGGGGAACAAGTGGATGTATCGACTGAGGACGTCAAGTCCAGTGGACAGGGGAGGCTGCCTCTTCCAAGGCCCGAGTCGCCGTGGTCACTGGCTGAAAATGCGCACCCGCGGAGCAGCCAGCCAAGGGCGCCTTCTCTCTGCTTTGAGCACAGGGCGAGGCAGACAGGCACAGCGGGTTCACATCCTCACTCTCATTGATGAGTCCTAAACTGGTCACCCACTAGCTGGCTGGCCTGTAGCCTCCGGGAACCTCAGGCTCCCCCCACGGGGCTGGAAGGCGTGCCTGCCCGGCCCCCGGCCCGGGGCTGCTGCTGATCCGAGGAGGAGAAGCGGAATTAGGTGGTCCGCCCAGAGCCAGCGTTCCGTGAATGTTCGCTCTTACGGCCCAGAGAGGAAGGAAGAGGAAGAGAAGCCCCACCCCAAAGAGAAGCCAGAAATGGCAAAAATCTCAAAGTGTAAAAAACAGGGAGCAGTAACACACAGCGCCACAGAAAGGAGGCTCAGAGGAGCAGCGTTAACAGGCCGTGGGAGCCTGCGGCGGCGGACGGGCAACCGCAGGAGCGTCGGAGGTGCACGTGCTAGGCGTCCCCGGGGGCTTTCATTTAAGTAGTTGAATTTCTCAAAATTCAGAAACTCCAGGATCAGCAACTCAAGGTGAATTCGTAGACCATCTTGCTCAAACTTGCAGCTTGTCAGGCCTTGACTATTTCTATGAATAAGTCCTGCCCGAGCAAGGAAGGAGCAGCCAGGACACGTTTACGCCAAAACCGCTCAGATTCCAGATTAGGGGAGAGAATGACTTAAATTCAAATATTTCTGTAATTAATGAGAGTCCGCTAATGTCGAGACGAGCCGCCCCCCAAAACCTTGACGCTACGTCCTCATCATAACTACGTTTCGGTGGTACTGACTTCATTAGGTGGAACATTTACATCTGTCTTTGAAATTTTAACTTCGTCAATTGCACTCGTGATAGGGGTTCCCCCTTAGTGCCCCGCACGGTGGCCACGCAGGAACACAGCTCCCACCAGGTCAGACCGGCGCGAGGCCGGCCTTCGACGTGGCAGACACAGAGCGCCTTCTCTGTGCACGGCCCCCCCGCCCCCCGCAGTACCGCGGCCCCCAGTGGGAGGCCGCTGAGTGAAGCTCGCTTCCCGGAAGCCGCGCCTGCATCAAAGCCAAGGAAAACAGGCGGCCCCTTTCTGCCGCGGGCGGCCTTTGCGGGCCGTGGCCGTGAACACGTTTTGGGCAAAGGTCCCTCGGGTTTCCCACTTCGGCTTCCCTGCCCTCCCGCCCGGTGCGCACGGGAACGCAGAGGGAGACCGGCCCGGCCACGCCCTGGCCGCCGCAGGGAGGCGGGAGGAGAGCGGGAAAGATCCTCAAGGCAGAAGCCATCAGAAAGACCCTCCGGATTCCAAAGGAAGAAACAGGATATTAAAAAATATTCTCTTCCGACGGCATGAGCGTGGGACGGGTTCTAAAGTCCTGCAGGGGAAGAAAGGCGCCCTGAGGGGAGGCGGGAAGGCACCGGCGGAGCACCGGCTGCGAGGGGCCGGAGCGGAAGGAAAGGGCGCGGTTCACTGCACCGGAGTCCGCCTTCCCGGGCGTTCGGAAAGCCCCAGCGACAAAAGGATGCACAGAACGTTGTCTCCAACAAACACACACGCAGGACGCACTCACTTGAGCTTAAAGTTAGGGTTTCCACAATCTCAGCCACTAAAGTACCACCTAAAGTTATTTGCCTCTCTGAAGGTCCCACGCTGCCCCGCCACCCCGACCTCGGTGCAGCCAGCACGCCTGGCGGGGCCCGACCCCTCAGCCCCCCAACTCCTCTTGCAAATTGCGGGGGGACCCCAAGCTCAATCTCAGCAGATGTTTCCCTCCAAAACACTGAAAAGCACCGTGGGAGGACAAATGTTTTCTTCTCTCTCAGATCATCCCCCATTAGAGGGACTTGAATACAGCGTTTGAGAAAATTTAGCTAAATAATTCAGCTGGCCAGAGACAACCTTTTTTTACACTTCTCTCTCAGTCCTGACAAACGAGGTCATACGTCAGGTGCCACGAACGATAACGCCCGGGGCCGTCCCGGCAGGTCCAGCGATGCGCGCACAGGCCCGGAGAACCCCGGCACCGGCGGCCGCCGCACGCGTGAGAAGCACGACCGTACACGCTCCAGTGTCGAAAACGTGGGCCATTCCCCTTTAAACTTTCAAAGAACAAATATTCCAGTTCGTCCAGGACAAAGATGGTCCTCAGAACGTTCGCATAAAACAGAACAAGGGCTGCATGAAACTGAAGCAATCAAACCAAAGGAGGGGAAACACAGTTTCATTCCCAAACATTTTCTTTAAACGACGAGGACACTTACCAGCACCTTGTTTTCAACTTTGTCCCCCTTAACTTCCAACTTGACTTTCTTCTTCACTCCAATTCTGATCTTTCTGCCAATAACATCCTTTATGCTTTCTGGAAGAAGGGAAGAGCTTCATTACAAACTCCTATTAACTAGAAAGTGCATGGGGTTACAGAGGGCTTTAGGAGGAGGATTTTTGATTGTTTTCATTGTTGTTTTTTGTAAATTATTTGCTTGTTTTAACGAGCCTGATCGGTATCATCCTGTATTTAATGACCACCTGCGTGGCACCTGCCCTGGGTGCTCCAGCGGTGAGGCCAATGGGAAAGCATGGGACGTAACCGCAGTCCACGCAAGGCGTGATGTGATCTTGCTGGGCTAACAGGATGCACATGCAAGAGGCACCGGAGCACCTGTCGGGCAGCGTCACGGAGCAGGGACTTGCCCGCGGGCCACGGCGCAAGAGGAGCCCGCACCCTCGCTCGGCTGGCCACCTCCTGCCCGGCCCCTGTGTGCGGCGCAGGGCCCCAGAGACAGGCCCACGTTCTGGGACCGCCTCGTCACCAAGGGGCAGGAACAAGGCAAAGAACCAGAACTGGACCGAACAATGCAGCCGGGGAAGGGTGCTCCTGGCCACCTGTCCTTCCAAAAAGGCCATGGCACCCCAGAGCAGCCAAACGGCAACAGAATGGGGGGGGAGGGGAGGAGGGAGGGAAGGGGAGGACGGAGGGGGAGGGGGAGGCAGGGAGACCTGAAAATTTGGATGGTGGCAGGAAGGAGCCCCCCAAACTGGACAGGTCCCGCACCAAACTCATCGCCTCCCTCCTCCGCCCCCTCCTCCCCCTCCTCCCCCTCCGCCTCTGGCCGCTGTCCTCAACTCCTTTCTCTCAGGTAGGTGGCCAGTCACCACCTCTCCCAAAACTGCCTCCTACACAGCTCCTGACCCCTGACCTTGACCTTCCCCCAGGCCTCGGAACCTCTTGCCAAGACCAAGTCCCTGACCTCCAACCGATCGACCCCGGTCCCTTCCATAACCAAAGTGACCCCTCCAAACCCCAGGTGTGACCAGGTCACTCTGGGCCTGGGAGTCGCACTCCTTTGAGGACGCACCCAGACTTGGCAGCGCGTCCGTCACTCAAGGTCTTTCACGGCCGTCGAGCGCCGCGTCTCAGCGCCCCGCTGCCCCTCCGCACCCCGGACCTGTGAACTGACTCTCCGACGGCCCCGCGCACATCGGAGCCCGACTGCAGACCATGAGCACGTGCAGACGCCAGACAGTCACGCACGGCGGGTCAGCCCAGCTGCCTCCGAGCGGCCGGGTGGGGGCGTTTTCCTCTTGTTCTCCCCTGCACTTCGCTTTCTTATTTTTTTTTAAGGTTTTAATTATTTACTTTTAGACAGAAGGGAATGGAGGGAGAAAGAGAGGGAGAGAAACATCGTGCGTACTTGCCTCTCATGCGCCCCCTACTGGGGACCTGGCCTGAAACCCAGGCCTGCGTCCTGACTGGGAATCCAACCTGCGACCCTTCGGTTTGCAGGCGGGTGCTCTATCCACGGAGCCACACCGGCCACGGCTACACTTTGCTTTTTCAATAAATAGCCTGTCTTACTTCCATAAGCAGAAAAGTACACAATACATTTTTAAATGCCTTGGGGGGGGTTACCACAGACTGAAGTTTTCAAAGGCTCGCCCTTCTGAATCGATCAGAGAGGAACTCTCGTGAGCACTTGAAATTAGAGATGAAACCGGGCGCAGGCATGCCCTCTGCAGCCTGAGGAGCCCAGAGAGCCCACACTGGGCGCACCGCCAGAGCGCGGGGCCCTTGGCTGAAAGACAGGCCGGACCCCATACGCGCAAAACTCCCACTTCCAGGCGAGGGCCTAAGGCAGCTCTCAGAGCGCCCCGCAGCAGCGTTTGAGCAGGTGCCTTACCTCGCCCGCCCCTCGGCGCCCTCTCTCCGGGGCCCTCGCAGCGCCCCGCACTCCGTTCCCAGGCTGCCTCCCCCGACCCCTGTGGCTCCGCAGCAGCCCCCGCTTCCCGGGCCGCGCTCGGCCAGCGGCCCGAGCCCAGGACACCCTTCCGCTTCCGGGCAGGGCGCGGGGAAGGTCTGGGCTCCAGAACCGGACAGACCACTCACTCCCTGCTGCAGCGGCAGCTGATGCTTATCTGAGAGCAGACGCCACCGGGCCGGGGCGGCGGCGGCGGCGGGGGCGTGGCGCGCGGGCAGGAGCGGCTCCCCGCCCGAAACGCGGGAGCAGAACTCCCCGCGTTCGCCTCTGCAGACCCCGCCCCAGCAACACAGCTTCTTCGGGGCAACGCTTCGCCTGCCCAGTCCACAGTCGCTGCCGGGGCGCTCACGCCAACTCCCGCAAAGCGCTGGGGCTACAGGAGGAACGGGGAGGGGGGCGGGGGGCGGACTCCTGAGACGCGGGGCGAGGGCTGAGACGCCCTCGGCCTGGGTCGGCGCGGCCCCACGCCCCCTCGCAGCGCTGCAGGGAGGGCGGGTGCCGAGGAGGGACCGCGAGGGGCTCGGGCCGCCGCGGCTCAAAGCCCCGCGCGCACACACCTTGTTAGGATACAGCGCACACGCGCGCGCCGACGCGCTGGGTTTTGAGAACCCTGTCCCCCGCCGCAGTTTAGCTCTGCCATCTCAGCCCCCACAAAACTTAGGCGAAACCCCAAGGCGTCAGATCTAGCCCCCCACCGCCACCCCAAAAACAACCTCAAGGACCTCAGACAATGGGTCACCTTGCACTAGGTACCCCGGGCAGGTTCCCTAATTGATCCGGGGTGAGGAGATCAGGTAGGTTAATTATTATTAAAAGAAGGCTTTTGTCATTAACCCTCCGTGTCCCGGCCCCAGTTCGCGTCAGTCCGGTAACCCTTTCGCTCCCAGCCTGCGGGCCGAAGCCACGCCTTTCCAGGCTGAGTCCTCACTCAGACCAGCGCCCCCTCCCCAAGTCGGCTCGTCGGCGGGACGCCTCCCGTCTGGGACTTTGGAGGGGGGGGCGGGGAAGGGGACACCGCCGGAAACCACCGCCTGCGCGCTCTCCCACCTCCAGCGCTGGGCTTCCCCGGACTTCCCCGGCGGGGCCGCGGGCCGGGAGCTGGGAGGGGGTCTCCTCTCCTCCGAAACTCCCGAGTCCCGGGCAGGCCCGTCCCCGCCAACCTCCACCCCCTGGTGGCGGCGGGAGACGGCGCCCGGGCTCCGATGGCCCTGCGCCGGCCTCTCCGGACTCGGCTCCGCAGGCGGTCAGACGGGAGCGAACTTCCCCAGGTCCCGGGGCCCCACCCAACAGCACTCGGACCCGGGGCGCGGGGCTCTGCCGGGGCGCACGGCGCGCGGGGGCGAGGAGCGCAGGCGCCGGGGACCCCTCTTACCTGTCAGCTCGCGGGGCACCTCGTTGCTCTCCTCGGCCATGGCTCCCCCACGCCGGGCCCGCAGGTCTCACTGCGATCCACCGCCCCGCCCTCCCGAACCCCTCGGTTCTGAGAGGCTGCTGCGGCGTGCGGACGGGAGGAGGCGAGAAGGCGGGCCGAGGGACTGTTTGGCCGCGCCCCTGCCCTCCGCCCCAAAAACAAACAAACAAATAAATAAATAAATAGTTGCCGATTCGCTGGGGGCCTGCGGCTGCGGTTACATGACGCCTCCAAGAAGCTCCCGCGGCCGCTGGATGGACGGACAGACGGAGAGCTCGCAGGACCCCACGTCCGCCCCGCGCCGGCCCGGCTGCGCCCCTGCTTCCGCCGCTGTTCCGGCCGATCGGGCACCTGCGGCCCTAGGTGCAGGCGGAAGGCGTGGGAGGGCGGGGAGAGCGCGCCGGGGGCTGGGGTTCCCGGCGCTCCCGAGGCTCCGCTGGGCGGGGGCAGCCGCGGCCCTCCCCCCCTCCTCCTGCTCCTGCGTCTCCTCCTCCTGCGTCTCCTCCTCCTTCTCTCCTCCTCCCCCTCTCCTCTCCTCCTCCTGCGTCTCCGCCCCGCCTCGCGAGAACGGCCCCGCACGGTCCCCGCGGCCTCGGCGCCGGGGCTCCGGCTCCCTGCGCCGGGCGCACCCGTGGGGACGCCGCCGGGACCTCGGTGGTGGCGTCTCGGCCCCCGATCGCAGCCTCACTCCCCAACCCCGAAGCCTCGCGTCTGGAGAGGGCACGCGCGGGCCCGGGAGCCCTCTGCTGGCTGCGCGAGGGGACAGCCGGGGGCCGGGTCCCCGTGCGTCCCCGCGCCCGCGGGCAGAGCGCCAGGCGGTGGGAGGCGGCAGGTTCCGCAGTTGCGTCGGCAGGGACACCCGGTCAGTCTGGGACTCGCTCGCGCGCGCCCCCGGGACAGCCCTCCCTGGGCCGTGCCGTGGCATCTTCCCCGTGTGCCGAGCCGGAGCGAGAGGAAACCTGTGAACACCGACCCCCTGTCACAGCCGCCGCACACGATCGCAGACGCTCGACTTGGGGGGGCGAGGCGCGGGGACCTCAGTTCGCCCCAGGGCAATGCGGGCGGTGAGCAGTATCCCCAGAAGCCGGGTGGGTCTCCTACCCGGCCAGCTCCCTGCGACGCCGGGCTCCAGCCCAGAGACACCGTGCGGGCCCGGAACACCTGTGAGCGCCTCCTTGCTGCCTTATTTCCAAGCGGCTGGGACTGCCGCGTCAGGACAAAAAGGACAAAAGAGAAGGGAGGGAGGAAGAAAAGGAATCTGGCTTTGGCTCCCTTGCTCGAAGCCCAGCTGGCCACCGCAAACGCCAAAAACAGCCTTCAGCCTCCCAGGCATTACCTCTGGGCTTTAGCCAATCAGCCGCCTTCCCACCTGGCTGCGGGTCCCCGGACTCAGGACTCCGCGGTCCCTCCCGTTCAGCTTATCTGCACCCCTTCCAGGGTTCAACCCCAGCCCAGCTGCATTCTCCTCGGGAAGCGTTCCCGGGCTTTTTCAGCGCATCTGACCCTGTACCTGAAACCACCGGAATGCTTGCCCCAAACACTTTTTTAAGCCCAGCGGAAGCCTTGGCACGTGGCCTGTGTGCTCTTTGAGTCAGCTCGGGCCTGGTGCCTCGTGCCCTGAGCTGGGTTTGCCTGTGGGACAAGACTGCATGAGCTCAGGGCAGGACGGACCTGTGCGAGGTCCGGGTTGGATGCACCCTTGGCAACGGATGAGTCTGAGAGCTTTGGACCTCGGGCTCCCTAAAGTTGTCCGCTTCTTTAAGCTAGACATTTCCTTTATGCCTTATCTTTTTATGCAATGAGTGGAAATTAACGCCTTCCATTCAACCCTGTGTGTGAAGAAGGGTTTTTCTGGCACATCCCAATGAGATCTCAGAAATCGCCCTGAAGGTTTCAAGTCAAGCGGTAAGTCCTCAAAATAAAAGCAAAAGATCATCGTGTCCCCTGCCCCACCCCCAGGCCCTGGGTGGTGAAGAGCGGAGAGGAAAGCCTGGCTTCGGGGCCGTCTTGTAACTCAGGCTTCTTGGCTGGCGTCTTTTAAAGAGGCTGAGGTTTCAATGAAAGAATGCTGTTCGGTTGTTTTTCTTTTTTCCCGGCCCAGGATCCCACCTGCTCCTGCGCCTCCAAAGGTGTTGGGTGCAAATGAGTCTCCTGTCTCCAAGCTCACGAAAGACTAGCCTGGAGATCAAAGTCATCCCCTCCTAGGGTGCAGAGGTCAAGTGTTTCAGAACCGGGAGGAGAGAGCCCCTGGGAGCCCCGTGCAGGACACCAGGACACCGTGCGGTGCGGCCGGCAGCGCACCTACCCCCGCCCCCAACGCGCACGCGGCCCGGCCGCAGCCCTCGGCTGTCCGCCCGCCCCACGCCGCCGGCTTCCTCAGCGGGCCTGCCCTCCAACGCCCACACCTGAGGGTGAGCCCCCCACCCCACCCAGCAGCCAGGCCTCTCTGTGAAGCTGGTTACCACGCGGCACGGCGCGGCGCGATCAGCTGCAGCTTCATCCTGAAACACTTCTGCGTGGCCGGGGTTAAGCCTCGCCACCAGTATGGACAGGCTGGATTTCGGAGAATCCCTGCCGCGGCTGACCTTTTAAACTGTTCAACACGGTGGTGATGAATACAACATAGACTGAGTAACAAAACTATTTGGGAAAATTATACATGAACTTTTAAATGATTTTAGTGCCTAGGCGTTGATTCATATCTACATACAGTCATGCTCTGTGTAATGACCTTTTGGTCAACGACAGAGGTCATACATGGTGGTCGTCCCATAACATCGTAACGGCGACCTCGGCTGGGTGGATCGGTTGGTTGGAGCAATGTCCCATACACACGAGGTTGTGGGTTTGATCCCTGGTCGGGGCACCTCCCAGAGGCAACCGACTGATGTTTCTTGCATCGGTGTTTCTCTCTCCCTCTTCCTTCCTCCCTCCCTAAAATCAGGAAACACATTCTGGGGTGAGGGCTAATTTTGAAGGATTATAATGGGGCTAAAAACTCCTATCACCTAGCACAGCGATTTTCAGCGCCCGCCGCAAGAATCTGTAAAACGTGCCGCACCTGCCTCTTCGGCCAGGGCACTGGCCTCTCTCCCGTAGGCTGTCGGATAAAAAATGACAACAGCCAGCACAGCCGGAGCCACGCAGTGTGAATGAATCAAAATTATATCTATTTTGTGTCCGAATGGCAGAAAATGAACTTTTTGGCGTGCCCCAGAATTTTCGTACTCAGTTCACTCGCCATGCAATGAACGAGGCTGAAAGCCGCTGGACGGGCAACGCTGCCACCAGCCCAGGCAACACAACGCGAGGCTCCGCATCTGCGGTGGCGCCGGTGCAAACAAGCCAGTGCGCTGCCCGCGGCGTAGAGGCGTCACAGACCCAGCTGCGTCCAGGCCCTCGCGCTTGACGAAAAATGACCACGTTCCTGGTTTCTGTGTTCACCGTACTGTGCTTTCATCATTATATCGGAGAGTTCTTTCTGCTTACTAAAAAAATACTTTGCTGTAAACAGCGGCCGCGTTCCGTGGGCAGCAGCTTCACACGCCTCCTGTGCACTGCGTCGCCTTGTTGCGCCTTTGTCCCCTGCACTGGATTTAACCTCGGCTCGTTTCGCGCAGCAGCAGCAGGTGGGCCTCTAGGTTGTGTAGGCGCCTCTATGATGTTCGCCCAACGGTGAAATTGCCTGCGGACACCCTTTCTCAGAACATATTGTTAAGTACGGAATCTCCCTGTGTCCTCTGCTCAGGTTTTCTATAAACCCAAAACTGCTCTAGAAAAATAGTTTATTACTTTATAGTTAAAAAAAAGCATTAATCCATAAGGACCAGGAAGATCAGAGACACGGCAACCAAGAAAATGCAACATTTTGGAAACTGGGAAAGCCGAGGGAAGAATGGTATCTGACTTAACAGACCAGAGAAAGAGCACTCCAGAGCCCGAGGGGGGAGCGCAGTAAGGAGGCGGCTGAGGGCTCTAGTAGACGTCACGCGGCGCAACCTCAGGACCTAGAGTCACACGTGACTCCGCGGGCGGAAGGGCAGAATGTGGGGAAGAAAGGACAGGAGGCAGGAAGGCTAGAAGGAAAGGCTACACGCTTCGTAGTCCCTTCTCTGTCTCGCACGGCCAGGCATCTCCCCAGCCCAGGACAGCGGCCTGAGATCGGACGGTCACTCTGTGGTGAGGGCAACAGAACAGACCGACTCTCAGGACAGCAGAGGGTGTGAGGGAGAAGTCACACCGCAGTGAGAAGTGGGGAGCTTAGAGGAAGCCCACCTCCTACACGGAGAGCCCCCCACTTCGCCCTCCGCGTGGCTCTCCAAGATCCAGCTGCCAGGTTGACCGTTATGGGCATAGGGCTGGAGAAGTCCTCTCCAAGTCATCGATTGTCCTTAGAAGAAAAACCGGTGGCTACTGGCATGTGGCGCTTTGCCAGTGAAAAGGCCAGGTCCCCTCGGACCTCCCCAAGGCGAGCCCGCCCGCTGGTCAGCTTTACTGGGCCTCCCTGTGAGGCAGGGACACCGGGGGACGTTACTACACGAGGAAACCCTCCATCCGCAAAGCCAGACACCGGCACAGGCAACCCCACAGGAACAAAGAAGAACACGGGAGCAAAAGAAACCTTTAAAACTCTAGTCCTGCGGGCAGGAGTAGTGACACGCCGGCCGCTGGCCCGCAGCGCCAAGCCCCGGGCGACCTCGTCGGCAGCGCTCCTCTCAGCGGTTCTGTTTTTCCCGGTTCAGGTTCCACACGTGGATTTTCATAAAAATGGGAAAACTGTCGGGCTGTGGGGACTTCCCGAAGGGTCCCCTTTCCGTGAAACATCACCATTTGTTAGGGGAAAAGAGTGGGGAGTCTGGGCTGGCACGTTTGCCTCTTAACGGAACTCCGGCAGCTGGACCGGCGCCACCTCTGCGCCAAGGCACCTTCGTGCTCCCACGCGGGTGGATGCGTCTCATGACCCCCGCAGGCTCCATCTGGAAACAGGCGTCCCTGTCTGGCGCATTGTCCCGTTCGGGGAAGGGAAGGGCTCCCAGCTCTCCTACCCGCCCCGCGGCCCCAGCCCCCTCCCCTGGGTTCTCTAAGGGTGCGGCGAGCTGACACGGAGGCTTTCAGATCCTGATTCTGCTCATCCCAGCGGAGCCCTGCTGG